TTGTGCACATTTTGCATTTGTTTTTACATGTTCTTTGTTCATGCTCTTTATCATTTTTCTGAGTTGGAAAGTTAGATTGCATCATAGTTTACTTGATACATATTTGTATTCTTCAGTGGTGAAGTATATTGCAAAGCAGCTCAGCCATGTGAGAAGACTTTTGGCACTTTTTCGTTTTTCGTTTTCTGAGTTGGAAAGTTAGATTGCATTCAAAATGTACAGAAATACTTAATTTTGTTAAAGCTTTTTATAAAAAATGCTTCTGACCAGAGCTTTGTTTCCATGTCATTAATGTTGAACACCACCAGAGGGGCTCTCACCTGAAAGGTCTCTGCTTCATGTGTCTTCAGCAGAAGATCTAGACTTTGATTGCTATATTTTCAGTTAATATTGACCTTACTGAGCTTTAGCCATATCCGCTGCCTATCATAAAAAATGTTAAGTACAGTGAACCTTTCTAAAATATACAGTAGTAAAGAGACAAACCCACCAGCATTATAGTAGCCAAATTCTTGTTTGTGGGCTGTATATATAAAATTGACTTGAAAAAGTTGCTGATTTTAGAGTACTGGCACCTTTTTCATTCCAATTCAAGCACTGGACATAACACAATAAAACAGATACAAAAAATACAAATAGTGCAAGAGGAAACAGTAGTAAAAAGTAGAATAAGGTTGTGTTGCAAGACCAATGTGCAAGTAATGCCGATCAAGTAATCTATATATACATGCAGTGCTGGAATTGGGCCGGTACTCACCGGTACGCAGTACCGGCACTTCTGGTTCTGACCCATGGAGTACCGGCACTTCTTGCTCAGTACCGGCATGCTGGCGGTACTCCGGTACTCATGCACCGTGCCAGTACTCAACACTCTCCCGCCGTTCTTATTATACATCCATATATATATATACAGCCGCCCGGTACTCAGTAGATGAGTCATGAGGTGCCGAACGGACATTCTCATCGCTCTAACCGCTGGAGTTTCACAGCGGCTGTCAGCTGTTTACTCCTGTCATTCAAACAGAACGTGCTGGAGAGGGGGCGGGGCTTATCTTCTCCATGTAAATACTGTGGTGGAAACGACTATGTCAAAATTAACCTATTTGACCGTGATTTAATAGTAATACACGTTTCAAAATAATAATAATAATAATGCCGAAGTAACAACATACTGAAAACTGTTAGTAAAACCATGTTTTAATGCTTTACAATTTACATACCTAGATGCACGTGTGTTGTGTTTATGCAGTGCAACTCCCACCCAGTGGGTGGCTATGTAGAGTGATAGAACAGAGCAGGCATGCCCCCGAGAGAAGGAAAGCAAGTCACGTCACAAATTAGCATTTCTAAAATGTTAGCGTGGATTAATAAAAGTGCAAAAAGACAGCGGTTGTCGCAGGAAGAAACTTCAAATACAGAGAACGCTGTGCCTGTGTTGGAAATTGTGTCTGATGGGGAGCTTTCTTTGGTTGATCCTCCTGCTCCAAGTTCTAGTGCATTAGCATTAGCACTAGCTCCGCCGCCTCCTCCAGAGCCTCTAAAGTTAGCTGCTGCTGGCGCAACTGCCACCACCAACACCGGGCAAAGCGATGCACCTGACTGCTGGACAACGGACCAGGTGCAATATTTTTGCAAGACCAATGCATGGCTCCTTCTTAAAGATAAGAAGCTAGGATGTCGGATATGCAGAGATGTCAAATCTTTGGGAATACACACTGGACAAGGACTGAAACTGTCAACTGAATGGGGTGAGTGTGCAGTGTCTCATTTCGGTGTTGACAAGGGCAAACAACAAGCTAGCCTGAGAAAAAAAATCAAAGAACATAAAGAATCACAAGCCCATGTAAAAGCTGCTGACATCCTTACATCTGCTTCACGTGAAACTATTCAACATCAAGTGCAGTCTATGCATAAATCTGAATTAGACACCACTATCAGAGTTTTTCGAACGGCATATAAAATTGGCAAACATAGCCGGCCATTCACAGACATGCCAATTGATTTGAATGTACAGAAACTGAATGGGCTGAACGTGGGCAGGGTTTTGCACTCCAATAAAACCTGTGGCGAAATCATCGACCACATAGCTCATGAGCTGAAGAAAAAAATGGCAAAAGACATTACAGAAAACCAAAGAAAACTCTGTGTTTTGGTCGATGAATCTACCACTATTAGTGGTAAAACGGTGCTTGTTGTGTGTCTACGCTCAGCATTAGCTGATGCTGAGCTCGAAACGTTTTTTTGGGAGCTGATTGAGTTGGATGGAACAACGGCTGATGACATCACAAAGGCGTTAATGGAGTGTCTTGGAAGAGATTTTAACGAGGACTTTTTAGGTCAGTGTTTCGTTTCTTTTGCATGTGATGGGGCTTCAGTCATGCTAGGGAAGAGAACAGGCGTTGCTACCCAGTTGTGTAGTAAATTCCCAAGCCTGTTTGTGTGGCACTATTCCAATCATCGTCTAGAGCTGGCAGTTGGGGATGTGGTCAAGGAGGTCTCAGGGCTCAATCATTTCCAGATCTTTTTTGACAAACTCTATTCCTTGTTCCATGCCTCCCCCAAAAATCAGAGGCAGTTAGCGCAGTGTGCGCAAGCAGTCGGACAGCGTCTCCTGGTGATAGGGCGTGTTTTGTCCATCCGCTGGGTGGCTTCAAGTGAAAGGAGCGTCAGAGCAGTCTGGGAAAACTACCGAGTGCTTCATGATCACTTCACAAATGCTGCAAACGACACGAGCAGGGATTCCAGAGACAGAGCAAAGTACAAGGGCCTGGATGATGTGCTCACATCTGCAACGTTTGTCAGCAATCTGGGACTGATGTACGATGCGCTCACAGAGCTCAGCGACCTCTCTCGGCAACTCCAAAAAAGAGAGATGACACTGCCTACAGCAGATAGGCTCTTAACTCGAGAAATACGAGTTTTTGAATCCATGGTCACCATGCCTGGCCCACACATGACTACAGTTCATACAGCTCTAGCTGAGAAGTCCTTCAAGGGTGTTGCCCTGCGTGAGAATGGCAGGCTTGTACAGATTCATGCAGGTCAGTTTTTCCGCAGTATGGTAGAGAATCTGAGACACAGAATGACTTCCACAACCTCCTCTCATGTCAGCACAAGAGAAATCCCATTACATGGCCGGGAGGCCCGGGACAATCAGCTAATCCAGGACATGAAAGTTATCCATCCTGGAAGTTGGCCTGAAGAGGAGTTAGACGTACAGTATGGGGACGTAGAGGTGCTACGTTTGTGCGAAGTGCTGAAAGTGGACAGAAGAGAGACTGTTCAGGGCTTTCGCGAATACAAGGAAACCAGGGCATCCCGTACACCTGCTGCCATGGAGCCTCTACTGAAAGCAGTCCGAACCATCGCTGTCTCCACTAGTGAGTGTGAGCGGGCATTCAGCTGCATGAACGATATCCTTACTGCAAAAAGGAATGCTCTCTCTGTCAGCCTGGTTTTCATTAAATGTAATGGACCATCACTAGGACAGTTCAATCCGGAACAGTATGTGAGGTCCTGGCTGGCAAAGGGAAGGAGAAGTGCTGATGAAAGAGCCTGTCCAGCTCCAGCCCCTGATACTGATGTCCCCAAGGCCTTCTGGAGCCTTTTCTAACAATGTGAAGTATATTGCAAAGCAGCTCACCCAGTGAGAAGACTTTTGGCATAATGTGCCGATTTGTACAGATCCTGGAGATAGAAGGACTTCAGACCAACCAGGGAGTTATCTGATCAGCTTGGTGTTCAATGTAACTCTTTACCATGGCTCAGACTTTGTTACTTGCAGTTACAGTTTCTCATTTTAGATTGTGCACATTTTGCATTTGTTTTTACATGTTCTTTGTTCATGCTCTTTATCATTTTTCTGAGTTGGAAAGTTAGATTGCATCATAGTTTACTTTATACATATTTGTATTCTTCAGTGGTGAAGTATATTGCAAAGCAGCTCAGCCATGTGAGAAGACTTTTGGCACTTTTTCGTTTTTCGTTTTCTGAGTTGGAAAGTTAGATTGCATTCAAAATGTACAGAAATACTTAATTTTGTTAAAGCTTTTTATAAAAAATGCTTCTGACCAGAGCTTTGTTTCCTTGTCATTAATGTTGAACACCACCAGAGGGGCTCTCACCTGAAAGGTCTCTGCTTCATGTGTCTTCAGCAGAAGATCTAGACTTTGATTGCTATATTTTCAGTTAATATTGACCTTACTGAGCTTTAGCCATATCCGCTGCCTATCATAAAAAATGTTAAGTACAGTGAACCTTTCTAAAATATACAGTAGTAAAGAGACAAACCCACCAGCATTATAGTAGCCAAATTCTTGTTTGTGGGCTGTATATATAAAATTGACTTGAAAAAGTTGCTGATTTTAGAGTACTGGCACCTTTTTCATTCCAATTCAAGCACTGTATACATGTCAGAACAATAAATAAATACAATAAACGAAATAATGCAGAGAATGTTGTAATTGGCTAAGTAAACGCAGGAGTCTACATACATGTAAATCGAATGAGATACAAGAACAGAATGTTGAATAAACAATGCAGTAAAAGGCATGTGGCACAGTGGGTAGAGCCTTGGTGTTGGGATCAGGGAGTCACAGGTTCAAACCCTACTGCAGTCAGCATGTCCTTGTTTCCCTGGACAAGACACTTCACCCCAAATTGTTCCTATGGGGATTGTATTGAGTACGAAAGTCGCTTTGGATAAAAGCGTCTTACAAGAAAAATTAAATACTGTTTATTGTAGGAATAACTACACATTTGACACTTGTGAGAAAAGGTTCACCAAAAAGTCAAACAAAAGTGATTCATGCAACTCACTGAACAAGTGTTGGGGAACATGTTGTTTATGTTATTGTTTCCCTTATTAGTTATTGTGGGAGATTTGGACAATGTATTTTTGAATGTCAATCCAATAGGTGGTAGTAATGTAACTTTATCCGTGCAGAACGACTCCCTAAACCAACGAAGAAGAACATTCCACCGGAAGTTGTTTTGTTCATGCCAACGAGAAAAATAAAAGTTGGTTTGGTTTATTTTGTCTCTTCATACATCCATATATTTCACACAGTAGAAATGGCTGTAGTTGAGAAACTGAGAAGTGTTATCAACGAGCGACTAGCTGCAGCTGCCGATGAAATATTTGGAGTTTTTGCTCAAGCTTTATCAGCATACGAGGAGGAGATTTGTCGTCAGCGCAGATTATTGGATACCGTCTTGAAGCCTCAGATAAAGCTGCACAGAACAGGTGTGTAACAAACCATGACATACTTTTTTATTTCTATTTCTTTTTAGATCTCCAACAACAGATCACAAATACAAAAAGCACACATTGTTAGAATATGTTATAGTTTTAAAAGTTGGTGGCGTAATGTTTTTTATTTTTTATCAAATCTATTTATAATTGTTATGCATAATGCATTTCTGTAGTCTTGTTTGTTGTTGTCTTGATATTGTGATATTGATCTTAACACCATTGCCCAGCATTGAATACAATTTGCTTCCCTAACACCACACTAACAGCACTTTGTTTGTTTTCTGTCCTCCAGAGCTCCCTCAGCAACATGTCTGTAATGAGGAGGAGGTTCTTACTGACCAGCAGCTCTGTAGTCAGGAAAGGAACTCCAGTCTGGACCAAGAGGACCCAGAGCCTCCACAGATTAAAGAGGAACAGGAAGAACTTTGCACCAGTCAAGAGGAAGAGCAGCTTGAACTAAAACAGGAGACTGATGTCTTCATGGTGACTCTTACTGATGAGGAAAGTGTGCACAGCGGTCAGACTTGTGCAAAAGAGTCTGTTGGCAAGCCTCAGATAAAGCTGCACAGAACAGGTGTGTAACAAACAATAACATACTTTCTTATTCTTTGTGACTGGCAAAGCCACACACAGTATAGTATTCAATGAACTTATCTCAACTTATTCTCCTTCTTACGCCACAAATGTTGTCATGCTACTCGTCCGGCAGCGTTGAAACGAAACACACAAAAAACACATCAAAACGTTTCGGAATAACCATGATCGGGTTGCTATGTCTTTTATAAGAGTGTAGCTCTCTTCACGACACAGACACAGGTCGGTTCTATAAAACGGGTGTTTATTTCTTGGAGTTTTCATCATGTAGCCTCCCCTCTTCCGTTACGCCATGAGGACTACAACAATGAATAACACGTATACATAGCCAAACATATTAGCATATTGTGCTACACATATATGAATGAAAATATGACACATGAGAACATAAAACAAATACCTCGTTGGCCGCTTGTCGTGAAAGGAGATGTATCTTTAAAGTTCCCTTTCCGTATAACCTTGTCAAATTGTAACTTTGTCACAGACTTCAGCAGAGCTTTGAATAAAGACGTCAACTCACGTTGAGTTGTCCAGTGTATCAACAAAACAGGCAGTACCAGTACATGAACAAACATTAGTTCCTAGGCACAAGAAACAACAAACACTTACGCATATTGGTTTAACATATAAAACAAACTGTATTAAATCATGCCATATTTAACGATTATAATATTACATGAAATAAAGTATTTATTTATTGAATTCATCTATGAAACCAATTGTGTTGTTCTTTTTGATTAAGGCAACTTTGTTACGTCATTTACAAAGAGATTCGCCTAGCCGTTTTCACGCACATTCGCAGAAAACTGCGATCTTGTGCTCCATAGGAATGAATGGGAAATCCATTTGAACAGAGCTCAAAAATACTCCTTTGACCCCATACAGATTCCGCAGACTTTAACATAGGACAAAAATTACAAGTTTAAACGGTTCTCGAGGCTATGGACTTTATTAGACTATTTGGATATTTTTGATAGCTAGTACGGTTCTCATGTAGTCGCAGCTTACGTTTTGTAGACATTTCACACTGTTTCACATTTTATAATGGGTGTGTATGGGAAAGCTCGTTAAGACTTAGAGTGGTGACATCACGACTAGAGGGGAGAGGAGCTGGAAAATATTCTGAGATTTTTTTCCAACTATTGCTCGGCTGGCCACAATTTTCACTCTTCAGACTTTTGTGATCATAATGTAGGGATATTTGTCCCGGCCGCACCGATATGCTCATTTAATCAAACGGACTTACACATATAGCAAACACGAGAGCCATCAGGTGTTCATCTGGTATCCTAAATACTCTGGGTTGGAGATTTAGCTGATTGGAGTTACAGTTTTTTACTTAGAAGCAATAATGCAACACAGTATTGTCAATACATTCTCTGACAGGCTGTCTCTCGTTCACTGGCAGGGCGTTGCCGTGGAAACGCTTTGATCTTTGAACACACCTGTCGGTTGTCAACTAAACCCAGTGGTAATCTAAAGATGTTCAGGAACGATGCAGGAATGTGGTACTAGAATCCAAAAATGTAAGAGATAAACATTTAAAATCTATGACTGATTGACCTGAATGTTTTATGTGTATTATCTCGATGCCCAAGACAAATTTCTCCTAAGGGATACAATAAAGCTTTATCTTATCTTAAAATAGTCAGCTAAATGTGAGCTAAAATTAGTGGATATTCTTTGTTGTACCTTAACAATACAACTAATGCTATTAATACTTACTCAGCGGGGGTAATGTTAGCATCGGGATGCGCACCCAAGTTTCAGTCACACAATCAACATTTCTCGTAATTTTCTAGTTTCCTATCAAGTTCTTACTGTGGGGGAAACTTCTGCAGCAATGGAGAGTCAGGACTCAAAGAGACACGAGGAGAGCTGGAGCTTTCAATTCAATTCAAATTCAAAACCTTTATTTATCCAGGTAAAATCCCATTGAGATCAATGATCTCTTTTTCAAGGGAGACCTGCAGCAGTAGGTTCCACAAGAAGACATAAACAACAGAACAACAAAAGGACATCATACAGCAAAATGTACAGGGATTACAAATTACATATTTAACCACATGTACAGGTACCAACAGCATCTGATTTTGTAGCATCCAACCGAGCTTTAAAAACATGTAGTGGTACTAGCTTGGTAATTTTCCATTCTTTTTGCAGACTGTTCCATGTTAGTGGAGCTGCACATCTAAAAGCTTTCTTCCCTAAGACAGTCCTAGCACTTGGCACATTTAATAAAACCACAGCATGCGATCTCAGGCAATAAGTACTTTCAATTCGCAGAGAGATCAGGGAGCAGATATAAGATGGTAGTTTATCCAACATGGCTTTGTAAATGAAAATGTACCAGTGTCTGAGCCTCCGTACAGTTAGTGATGGCATAACCGCCTTGGTATACAGGGTACAGTGATGCGTAAGTGCTTTACAATTTGTCAAAAATCTCAGTGCACTGTGATACGCAGCATCTAACTTGCTCAGGTAATTGGCAGGTGCATTCATATATAACAAATCACCATAATCCAGCACAGGTAAAAAGGTCACAGTGACTAGCCTTTTCCTGGCCTCAAGCGAGAAACAGGACTTATTTCTGTAAAAGAAACCTAGCCTAACCCTCAGCTTTTTAAGCAGGTTATTGACATGAAGTTTAAAAGTGAGACGGTCATCAAGCCAGATACCCAAGTATTTGTAACAGGTAACCACTTCAAGTTGTATTTCTTGCGTAGTTACAATATCCAAAGCAGTGTCTGGTGTATTTTTAGCTTTAGCTTTAGAAAAGAGCATTACCTTGGTTTTATCCACATTTAAAAGAAGCTTAAGCTCAGAGAGCTGAGCCTGAATAATGTTAAAAACAGCCTGTAATTTAACAACAGCCTCGTTAATCGAGGGACCTGCACAATACATAACGGTATCGTCCGCATACAAATGTAAGGTTGCTCCTTCGACATTTTCACCTAAACTATTAATATAGATAGAGAATAATAGCGGACCTAAAACTGAACCTTGTGGTACACCATTAGTGATGTTTAACCACTCAGAAGACAGCCCATCAAAATGAACACATTGGGACCTTTCGGAGAGGTAGTTCACAAACCAACCCACTGCATGGCTGGATATGCCGATACTGAGTAGCCTTTGCTTCAAAATGCGATGATCGACAGTATCAAAAGCTTTGGATAGGTCAACAAATAGAGCTGCACAACTCTGCTTATTATCTAAAATACTCGTAATATCATTTACCACTTTCATTGTGGCAGTGATGGTGCTATGTTGCTTTCTGAAGCCTGACTGATGTTTAGACAGGATGTCATTGTTACATAAAAACACCTTTACCTGTTCACTCACTAAGCGTTCAAGAACCTTGGCCAGAACTGACAACTTAGAGATGGGTCTATAATTGTTTAATAAGGTGGCCTCCCCTCCTTTTAGTAGTGGCAGGACATAAGCTGACTTCCATACTTTGATGGCAAACACTGACTGTTTATTTGGAGCTTCGGCCGGAGAATTGACAAGACATGTCACGGGCCACGAGTTGACCACACGGTTGAGATGCCACATCAATTCTGAAGAACCCTCCTGTAGTTCCAGGTTTTAACTAGTTCAGAGTGTAATAATCAACATTCTTAATAGTTAGACTAAACAGCTGAGGACACTGAATCACATTTGTTGTCGCTTATGGCTCGGGTCATCTACACCCCGAGAAGGATGTGTTCCAGGTGTCCCACAATAATAACTATCTCTGACCGAAGTTGCCCGGTCATAAACTGGTAACAACAACAAAATGCTTGGGCAGCTCCTCCTTAAGGGAGATAGCGGCAGCAGCCTGCAGATGCAGTTGGGCATCTGCGTCAGAGGGCAAAAGGTAAACATGTATACAGAATTATTCCCTGACACTTACAAATTATAAAACAATCTGAATGGGATTCATTATGGTTAAAGCCTCTCGTTAGCTATTTTCTGTTTATTCATTCACATTCAGATATCCAACAACAGATCACAAATACACAAAGCAGTTAAAATACACATTGTTAGAATATGTTATAGTTTAAAAAGTTGGTGGCCTAATGTTTTTTATTTGTATTTTATAAAATCTATTTATAAATGTTATGCATAACGCATTTCAACAGTCTTGTTTGTTGTTGTCTTGATATTGTGATATTGACCTTAACACCATTGCCCAGCATTGAATGCAATTTGCTTCCCTAACACCACACTAACAGCACTTTGTTTGTTTTCTGTCCCTCCAGAGCTCCCTCAGCAACATGTCTGTAATGAGGAGGAGGTTCTCACTGACCAGCAGCTCTGTAGTCAGGAAAGGAACTCCAGTCTGGACCAAGAGGACCCAGAGCCTCCACAGATTAAAGAGGAACAGGAGGAACTTTGCACCCGTCAGGAGGAAGAGCAGCTTGAACTAAAGCAGGAGACTCATGTCTTCATGGTGACTCTTACTGATGAGGAAAGTGTGCACAGCGGTCAGACGTGTGCAAAAGAGTCTGTAGGCAACATGCCAGTTTTAAGCGTTGTGGTATCAGAAGCACAAAGTAATCTGCAGCTCATCTCTCACAATTCTAATAACGCAGGGTTAACAAGAACTGCCGATCCAGTAATAGACAAAATGCATCACAAAACCAAAATGAACAAAATAAACAACGCTAACTTGTCAGACATGCAACGTAATACTTGCACAGTGAAGAATTTCAAATGTGAAATTTGTGGGAACGATTTTAAGTACATGTCATTATTGCGAAGACACATGACCACCCACACGGATGAGAAGCCATATTCTTGCCAAACATGTGGAAGAGATTTCAGAGAAAGTAGTTCCTTGAAGCAACACATGCAAGTCCACACCGGTGAGAAGAAATATACTTGCAAAACATGTGGAAAAAAATTCAAATTGAACTGTAACTTTAAGAGACATGTGAGAGTCCACACAGGTGAGAAACCATATGTTTGCCTGACCTGCGGGAAAAGCTTCGCTGAGATGTCAAAATTAAGAAGGCATATGAAAGTCCACACAGGTGAGAAACCGTTTACTTGTAAAGCATGTGGGAACAATTTCAGACGTAGCGATGAATTATTGATCCACATGAGAAGGATTCACGCTGCAGAGAAGGCATAACTTTGAATTGCAAAGGTATTACATGGTTTACACCAACAAGTAGATTTCCATATGTACCCACACAAGTGGCAAGGCACATAAATGCAGCACTTTTTTCATCTGGATGAATGTTCACCAGGCAGCTACCTCTGGGACTGAGCAATGCAACCTATGCTGAAGATTTAAAAAAACTGCAATTAAGATGCAAATAGATTTTTTTATGTTTTCAACATGTCATTTTGTTTTGTATATTTATGTATTTTGTAGTGGAATCAAATTGTTTGTTATTTTGGTTTCAAGTTGACACTCAAGCTGAAGTAATAATAATAATGATCTACATTGTGCTTTAATGAATAGAAAGGATCGGTGCACTTAATGCTGTGTGATCTAATGTATGTATCTAACAGTAAAGCTTTGTATAGTGATGATGTACGAATACCAGATTCACCCTAAACGCTAAAGATATAAGCAAACGCTGTTCATCCAGGCTGCTGGTATGACTGACATAATAAGTAAGTGGATGTAAGTTGTTACAAACAGTAGGTGTTTAAATGATAGCCACATGGGCTTGAGTTTAAGTTATTATATTATTTAAATATGTTGATTAGTTTGATCACCGGAGTTGCCTCATATTGAACTTTGGTAACAGTAATAAGAGATTGCATTTGAATCTCAAGTAAGATCTTGACCAATTTCAAATAAAAAACGAAATGGTTCTCAGATGGCATCTTATTGCTTTCCTTTCATGCAACATAAAGTTATACTTTTCATTTTACAGGAGAATACTTTCCAAGCCAGTACATTCATTTGACGGCTATCAATTAAACAAAAAACGTCTATCTATGTTTCAGATTAAGGTTTTCCATAAAAAAGTGTTCACACATTATGTAAAGTCCTTACACCCTTGTACTGTGTTTTTTTATTTAATTTAAAACATTGTATTTGCAAAGGCTTAACAAATATGAATCATGTTAATGATAGCTATTTAATAGAGCCGGCTCATCTCCTTTATTATAATGAATGTTGAAATAGCACAGCAAGGTTACAATGGCCTCAGTAAAAATCACATGTTAAATTTGCACAGATTCACTGCCACTAACCAACATCTCAGTTATAATATTAACATCTGAATCTGACAGAAAGGGCCCAGATTCATCCCAACCAAAGTGTCCACTACCTTTCTCACAACTCTCAGAGTCGAAAGCAATGCAAGAGCAATTCACAAGAAGACCAGTACTGATCAGGAACCAGAGAACAAATGTTTAAAATGGGGAGTTTCATGATATCTTAAAGTAAAAAAATATACACAAGGTCCCACACCGGTTTACAGAGGTGGGAGGAGTACTCATCGTAGTAAAAGTACAAGTACAAGAGTGTAGGAATATTCTGTTACAAGTTAAAGTCCTGCATTCAAATGTTACTCAAGTAAAAGTACAAAAGTAAAAGCACTTATTGTTCAGATTTCCCCTTACAGAATAATATATATTATATATTTCAATATTGATGCATTAAAGTGTTAGTCAAAGCTGCTAAAGGTGCAGCTAGTTTTAATCACTTTGTGTTCTGCAGGGTAGATTGTGAATTTACTCCAGGTGTAACTAAAGTCTTATTTAAGTGTTGATTATATTTCACATAATTATTCCAAGTCTGTAAAATAACTAAAGGTATAAAATAAATGCAGTGGAGTAAAAGTATACGATTAGTCTCTGAATTGTAGTGGAGAAGTACAAACTAGCAAATAATAGAAATACTCAAGTAAAGAACAAGTATCTAAAAATGTTACATTACTTGAGTAAATATACTTTACACCTCTGCCGGGGAAAAGCATTTCAAATTCAAAGATTCAAAATTGAAAGGCTTTATTTTCATATGCAAAGTAGCTACAGTGTAGAAAAAGGCATTGCAAGTCTGAAGTCCCAAGCTCCCCCAACATTGTAACATAGTTGGGACATAACACAATAAAACAGATAAAAAAAATACAAAATACAAATAGTGCAAGAGGAAACAGTAGTAAAAAGTAGAATAAGGTTATGTTGCAAGACCAATGTGCAAGTAATGCCGATCAAGTAATCTATATATACATGTCAGAACAATAAATAAATACAATAAACTAAATAATGCAGAGAATGTTGTAATTGGCTAAGTAAATGCAGGAGTCTACATACATGTAAATAGAATAAGATACAAGAACAGAATGTTGAATAAACAATGCAGTAAAAGGCATGTGGCACAGTGGATAGAGCCTTGGTGTTGGGATCAGGGAGTCACAGGTTCAAATCCTACTGCAGTCAGCATGTCCTTGTTTCCCTGGACAAGACACTTCACCCCAAATTGTTCCTATGGGGATTGTATTGAGTACGAAAGTCGCTTTGGATAAAAGCGTCTTACAAGAAAAATTAAATACTGTTTATTGTAGGAATAACTACATTGATTGATTGATTGAAAAGTTTATTAACAGCTTGTATATTGGGAACAGTACAGTACAGCTCAAAACATACAATTGTTAAGGGGATGCAGACCAGAGAAAGACTTTCGTCTTGTTTACATCAGGGTCCCCCATTTCCAATTCATCATGTCATTTAAGACATATAAGACATACAGATGGCTTATTTACAATTTACATACAGGTGGTTTTTTTACATACAGATTGCTTGTTTACAATTTTCATTTTAGATTTCGTTCTAATACATCCTAACCGGACATTTAAGACATACCAAGTCTACAGATATACAGTTAGTAACAGAGTCTAAAATGCGAGTATATACATAGATGGGGGGGGGGGGAAGCTGTCCATTGAACGACAGGTTGAGATTTGTACCATTACCGGGGCCAGTTTTGCAATGCTCTCCCCCGAAGGTGCTCTTTAAGAGAGGTTTTGAAGGTAAGTATAGTTTTACTTTCCTTTACAGTTGTGGGAAGAGCGTTCCACCTTGATGTGGCATAATTGCGAAACGTGTATTCCCCCTTTTTTGTGCCAAATCTGGGTTTCACATGATTTGTGGAGCTCCCTCTGGTGTTATGATCATGGTATTCCTTGACCTTTGGGAAGAATGTTGACATGTACATGGGTACCATAGAGGTGTAGTGGATCTTGTAGACCAGGCCCATTGCAAGTAGCTGTACTCTGTCGTCTACTCTAAGCCATCCTAGGTTGTCAAAGTGGGCAGAGGTGAGGTGGGTTCTAGATGAAAGGTCAAGCAGTAGTCTGACCAGTTTATTTTGCGATGTTTGAAGTTTTATTTTTAGCGCCTTGGAGGTGCTATGGTACCATGACGTGCAAGCATAGTCATAGTACCCTTGAATGAGTGCTCCTGCCAGAGTTTTCAGGGTGTTTTTGTTTACCAGAGAGGAGATCCGGTATAGGAATCTAGTTCTTTGATTGACTTTTTTTATTACATTGGATGCCATTTTGTCACAGGAGAGGTTTGCCTCAAGAATAGATCCTAGGTATGTAATTTCCTTCTTACTTGTGACAATAATGTCGCCCACTGCAACTGAGAAGTCGTCGGATTTGCTGAGATGTGACACAAATGTGACACTTGTGAGAAAAGGTTCACCTAAAAGTCAAACAAAAGTGATTCATGCAACTCACTGAACAAGTGTTGGGGAACATGTTGTTGATGTTATGGTTTCCCTTATTAGTTATTGTGGGAGATTTGGACAATGTATTTTTTAATGTCAATCCAGTAGGTGGCGGTAATGTAACTTTATCCGTGCAGAACGACTCCCTAAACCAACGAAGAAGAACATTCCACCGGAAGTTGTTTTGTTCATGCCAACGAGAAAAATAAAAGTTGGTTTGGTTTATTTTGTCTCTTCATACATCCATATATTTCACACAGTAGAAATGGCTGCAGTTGAGAAACTGAGAAGTGTTATCAACGAGCGACTAGCTGCAGCTGCCGATGAAATATATGGAGTTTTTGCTCAAGCTTTATCAGCATACGAGGAGGAGATTTGTCGTCAGCGCAGATTATTGGATACCGTCTTGAAGCCTCAGATAAAGCTGCACAGAACAGGTGTGTAACAAACCATGAAATACTTTTGTTATTTCTATTTCTTTTTAGATCTCCAACAACAGATCACAAATACAAAAAGCACACATTCTTAGAATATGTTATAGTTTTAAAAAGTTGGTGGCGTAATGTTTTTTATTTTTATCAAATCTATTTATAAATGTTATGCATAATGCATTTCTGTAGTCTTGTTTGTTGTTGTCTTGATATTGTGATATTGATCTTAACACCATTGCCCAGCATTGAATGCAATTTGCTTCCCTAACACCACACTAACAGCACTTTGTTTGTTTTCTGTCCTCCAGAGCTCCCTCAGCAACATGTCTGTAATGAGGAGGAGGTTCTCACTGACCAGCAGCTCTGTAGTCAGGAAAGGAACTCCAGTCTGGACCAAGAGGACCCAGAGCCTCCACAGATTAAAGAGGAACAGGAGGAACTTTGCACCAGTCAGGAGGAAGAGCAGCTTGGACTAAAACAGGAGACTGATGTCTTCATGGTGACTCTTACTGATGAGGAAAGTGTGCACAGCGGTCAGACTTGTGCAAAAGAGTCTGTTGGCAAGCCTCAGATAAAGCTGCACAGAACAGGTGTGTAACAAACAATAACATACTTTCTTATTCTTTGTGACTGGCAAAGCCACACACAGTATAGTATTCAATGTACTTATCTCAACTTATTCTTCTTCTTACGCCACAAATGTTGTCATGCTACTCTTTCGGCAGCGTTGAAACGAAACACACAAAAAACACATCAAAACGTTTCGGAATAACCATGATCGGGTTGCTATGTCTTTTATAAGAGTGTAGCTCTCTTCACGACACAGACACAGGTCGGTTCTATAAAACGGGTGTTTATTTCTTGGAGTTTTCATCATGTAGCCTCCCCTCTTCCGTTACGCCGTGAGAACGACAACAACGAATAACACGTATACATAGCCAAACATATTAGCATATTGTGCTACACATATATGAATGAAAATATGACACATGAGAACATAAAACAAATACCTCGTTGGCCGCTTGTCGTGAAAGGAGATTTATCTTTAAAGTTCCCTTTCCATATAACCTTGTCAAATTGTAACTTTGTCACAGACTTCAGCAGAGCTTTGAATAAAGACGTCAACTCACGTTGAGTTGTCCAGTGTATCAACAAAACAGGCAGTACCAGTACATGAACAAACATTAGTTCCTAGGCACAAGAAACAACAAACACTTACGCATATTGGTTTAACATATAAAAGAAACTGTATTCAATCATGCCATATTTAACGATTATAATATTACATGAAATAAAGTATTTATTTATTTAATTCATCTATGAAACCAATTGTGTTGTTCTTTTTGATTAAGGCAACTTTGTTACGTCATTTACAAAGAGATTCGCCTAGCCGTTTTCACGCAAATTCGCAGAAAACTGAGATCTTTTGCTCCATAGGAATGAATGGGAAATCCATTTGAACAGAGCTCAAAAACACTCCTTTGACCCCATACAGATTCCGCAGACTTTAACATAGGACAAAAATTACAAGTTTAAACGGTTCTCGAGGCTATGGACTTTATTAGACTATTTGGATATTTTTGATAGCTAGTACGGTTCTCATGTAGTCGCAGCTTACGTTTTGTGGACATTTCACACTGTTTCACATTTTATAATGGGTGTGTATGGGAAAGCTTGTTAAGATTTAGAGTGGTGACATCACGACTAGAGGGGAGAGGAGCTGGAAAATATTCTGAGTTTTTTTTCCAACTATTGCTCGGCTGGCCACAATTTTCACTCTTCAGACTTTTGTGATCATAATGTAGGGATATTTGTCCCGGCCGCACCGATATGCTCATTTAATCAAACGGACTTGTACATATAGCAAACACGAGAGCCATCTGGTATCCTAAATACTCTGGGTTGGAGATTTAGCTGATTGGAGTTAGTTTTTTACTTAGAAGCAATAATGCAACACAATATTGTCAATACATTCTCTGACAGGCTGTCTCTCGTTCACTGGCAGGGCGTTGCCGTGGAAACGCTTTGATCTTTGAACACACCTGTCGGTCGTCAACTAAACCCAGTGGTAATCTAAAGATGTTCAGGAACGATGCAGGAATGTGGTACTAGAATCCAAAAATGTAAGAGATAAACATTTAAAATCTATGACTGATTGACCTGAATGTTTTATGTGTATTATCTCGATGCCCAAGACAAATTTCTCCTAAGGGAGACAATAAAGCTTTATCTTATCTTAAAATAGTCAGCTAAATGTGAGCTAAAATTAATGGATATTCTTTGTTGTACCTTAACAATACAACTAATGCTATTAATACTTACTCAGCGGGGGTAATGTTAGCATCGGGATGCGCACCCAAGTTTCAGTCACACAGTCAACATTTCTCGTAATTGTCTAGTTTCCTATCAAGTTCTTACTGTGGGGGAAACTTCTGCAGCAATGGAGAGTCAGGACTCAAAGAGACACGAGGAGAGCTGGAGCTTTGATGGCAAACACTGACTGTTTTTTTGGAGCTTCGGCCGGAGAATTGACAAGACATGTCACGGGCCACGAGTTGACCACACGGTTGAGATGCCACAATCAATTCTGAAGAACCCTCCTGTAGTTCCAGGTTTTAACTAGTTCAGAGTGTAATAATCAACATTCTTCAATAGATAGACTAAACAGCTGAGGACACTGAATCACATTTGTTGTCGCTTATGGCTCGGGTCATCTACACCCCGAGAAGGATGTGTTCCAGGTGTCCAACAACAATAACTATCTCTGACCGAAGTTGCCCGGTCATAAACTGGTAATAACAACAAAATGCTTGGGCAGCCCCTCCTTAAGGGAGATAGCGGCTACCCAAGGTTGGGCATCTGAGGTTACCTACTGTAACCCAGCTTCTATGAGTATTGGCGCAGCCCTCTAAGGCTATCGCTATTGGGTTATCCCTCTGCGCCCCCGCGCAGCACTGAAACACTTGTAGTCCACGCCGACCCGCCAGGTGGGCCCCACCCTCGGGCCTCCTTCCGGTATAAATAGGAAGGTTGCCCGGCAATCTGCTCCCATACAATATAACTTTTCTTCAGCTATTCGTAGAGCCAGTGGGGCCCAGCGCTTAGAGGGCTGCGCCAATACTCATAGAAGCTGGGTTACAGTAGGTAACCTCAGTTCTATTTCGTATATGGCTTCGCCCTCTAAGGCTATCGCTATTGGGTTAAGGGCGAAGCATGATGTAGTCTGCGCCCCACTGGGTCTGTCCAGCACTAGAAGCACAGACATACCTGCTTAATAACGCCCCCCTGCCTGTTGTGCCATGCGTAATGGCGCATCACCGTCCCTGGAACATAGCAAAACATACCTATTTTCCTGACGGGCTGAAGGCTGGGAACAATACATACCGACCGCTGTGAGAAAGTAGAGACGAAGGTCCCACCTTGTCCTGCGATCATAGAGGGGGAACAGCCGCTCTCTCCGTGTCAGCCAGGTAGGAGAGCGCTCAGCTGGATCCCTGACGTCACTCACTCTGACCAGGCACTCTGTACGAAGTGTGTCAGAGGAAGGGGAACATCCCTCTCCTACGAGGGGAAAAAGGGCCGCTCTCTGTGTGCCGCGAGGCAGGAGAGAGGCGCACAGCTGGATCCCTGACGTCACTCACTCTGACAGGACACCCAGTACAGGGCGTGTCAGAGAGGAAAGGGAGACATCCCTCAAATAAAATTGAATAAATGAACAGGGGAACACCGAGGAGGAGGAAATTCCTCTGGTTGAGTGCGCTTTGATATTCTCCGGGGGCTCCACCCCAGAGGAGACATATGCCTGTGACACAGCCTCACACAGCCAGTGTAACAGCCGTTGTGTAGACAGAGGTTGCCCGATCGAGCGCTCTCTGTAATGCACAAACAGGCGCTGAGAACGGCGCAATGCCGCCGTGCACGCCACATAGCAGGACAGCGCGCGCACCGGACAGAGGAGATGAGATGTTGCTTCTTCCTCCGACCTGTAAGGAGGGGGGAAGAAGCCAGCCAGGGTGATCACTCTTGACCTAAAAGAGTTGTGATGACCTTATAGGCATGAAGCCGGGTTATGGCGTAAAACAGCTGAACTGCATCTCCATGGATCCGGAGACATGACGGAGCCACAGGGAGAGCAGACAGATCACCCTTTCCTCTGATAGAGCCAAAAGCAGTACTACTTTGGCTGAATACAGTTAAGGGGAACCTGATCAGGATCAAATGGGGTTTTTCTTTAGTGCGCGTAACACCAAAGCCAAATCCCACTGAGGCGCCAGTGTGCGTGACACCGGTCTGAGTCTCCATACTCCTCGCATACCACGGCTGCTGCGTTCTGCGAGCCCCTCGGTTAAATTCGCCGGGAATAACACTGTTCCTGGGATAACGGGAGTGTTTCTTGTATCCCATGGAACTGCTGGGGGGAGAGGCTTCTCTGTGATGTGCCGTAATGGTCGTCATGGTGACGTGCCACGCCATCGCCGCTGCTGCCCGTGAAGCAAAAAGGCTGCGAGGGAGTTTCCACACGCTGCATTCCACTCTGTCTCTCATCATGAGGCGCGTACATGCCCAGAGGATGAGAGGTGTGTGTATGCTGTCCACACGAGGCGTTATAACAGTGCTCGTGGATTTATTATGACCGTGTGTAAGGCATATCTGGGACAGAGGAATGCCTCGAGCTCTGCAGTTTATAAACCAATAGGTTAAAACAGCAGGCTTCTGCAGTGAATGAAGCACCTCTGGAGACTCCACCTGTGGGGGAGACCATGGGGAATCCCCCCCCGTGACCAGCTGACGCTAATGCCTCGCAGCTGCGTCACGGAGAGGGCTGTGTGGGTAGTGACACGCCGGAGAAGAGCTGTCAGTTTCTCCACTCGCTGCCACGAGAGCGCGCTCTGCTGCTGGCTGAGTTTAATTCCACTCCCAGATAAACGTTTGTCTGAGAGGGAAGAGAACAGCTCTTCTTCCAATTTATTATGAAACCCAGGCTTTGACAGATGCGATACGAGATGTATCGTCTGTAAAGCGACTTCCTCCCTGGAGCGAGCCAGCAACTAGCAGGTCGTTCAGAGGAAACCACCCTCTCATCCCTCCTCTGTGTAGCGGCTCCAGCCTTCTACACAAAAACGGGAGGAGCCAGGAAATATCCGAACGGCAGACGATTGTCTGGTCTGATATTCCCTGAAATGAGAAACCGCAGGAATTCCCTGTGTTTCGGGATGATGGGTACGTGGAAGTATGCATCCTTCAGGTGGAAGTGAACCAGTCGTCCTGGTGAACACATTCCAGCACCTGTTTGATCGTCAGCATGTGGAATACTGACAGTTCGAGGATGTCTCATTGCCCCAGTCTTTTTCGGGATTAGAAAAATAACGGGAGTGAAAAACCCCTGATTTTCCTCCCTTTGAGGAACCCTGGAAATATCCTCTTTCTACAGGAGTTCCAGCAGCTCGGATTGGAGCGCAAGACATAGCTTCTGGGAGGACAGGAGTGTTTCCTGTATCCCATTGAACTGTGGGGGGCTTTTTCGGAACCACACTGCGGGGTGTGACACGTCGAAGGAGAGCTGTCAGCGTTTCCACTCTCTGCCGTGAGA